TCTCTGCCTGCACCTGTTGATGGACATTCCCTTCCCCAGCAGTGCTGGGATGTTGGAGACCTTTGGGATGGTAACTGGGAAAGGCTGATTTGGAGAGCAGCTGCACAGGGAGTGGGCAGCTGGAAGATACGACCCCTTCCCACAGACACACAAACTCAGCTCCCAAAGCCCTCCAGCCCACTAATCCTGCCTTGATGCCCACCATCCTTTTCCTATAACAGCCTCATGGAGCAGGGCATGGGGGAGGATGGGACAGGGATAGAGCTGGACTGCAGTCTCAAGTCTGGGGCACTCAGTTTGGAAAAAAGCAGCCCCAAATTCCCTCTTTTCTGATAAAATACCCAAAACTCATTTAAAAATTATGGTTCCTTGCTCTACTCAGGTTCTCTCCTATGGTGGCCAAAAGCAGCCTTGTCCTAATAAAAAAGTCTGTGTCTTCTGCAAGATGCAATCTCTGTGATGTCTCACCACAGATTTTTATTTTTTTTTTAATTCCAAAGCTTCTGTACACAAAGCATTTTCTTCAAGTTTCTCTCCACAATTTTCCTAGGCTCTCCTCATCATCTTTTAAAAGATAGCTTCTTGAGGAGCTTTGAATGTACCTTCTATTAAATTTTAGCCACCCTTAAAGGTTGTTCCATGACCCAGACGATGATCTCAACGTCTGCTGTCTGTGATGCTCCAAGTGTCTCACCCCATGCCCCAGAAATGTGTTTTGGAGCTTAGGGGACTTTACATCCTGGTTCCTGGGACCCACCACCCATCCCACGGCAGTGACAAATATCCCCTTCTCTGCCCAGCTCAACATTTGCAGCCCACTTCCCCATGCCTGAGACTCTTTGTCTTCCCATCACCTGGGGACTGGCACTGGAGGAGCATCTCCAGGTCCTCCATGTCCCCATGGCAGCCCTGCAGCCCCTCTGCTGGGTGGACACGTCAAGGAATCATCGCTCCAGGAGCCTCTGGCAGCCAGGCCCCACCACCAGGGCTTGTTCACTCTGATTTATCCACTCACTGACTGACTCCCTGGCTTCTGGTCAGACAGTTCTGCATGTTTATTCACTGGGGGGGAAACTTCCCTTTACCCCATAATTGTTTCTGTCTCTGCCATTTTCTGCTTCATCACTGCCTGGTTTTGGGAAAAGGGGCTTTTTGGGGAGGTGATTCATTTCTCTGTGGATTTTCCTGCATACTCAGTTCATCAGCTTCCCCATCCTCTCCCCCTTGCTGTTGCTTCCCCCATTCACCCATTCCCCAGAGTGAATTGATTCACTGTTGAGGTTTATTTTTGGCTTCCAGCTGTTGGGCTCCTTGCAGCTGCCTCGAGCTGGTGTGCTCCTCTCTGCTCCTCCAGAGTCTCTCCTCCTCCTCCTCCTGGCTATATTCCTCCATCTAATTCCCCTGCTTCCTTCTCTATGCAATGTTTGGCTATTTTTAATGGTCTGAGTGTGCCCCACTGATGACAATCAGAAGCTGGAGAGCAGCATGAGTGTGGGGGATGTTTTGCATGGCACAGATCTGGTGCCAGGACACGTGGCACGAGCAGGGATTCAGGATAGGGTCCCACTAGCCTCTGGGCACCAGGCTGAAGGGCTGCCACCCCTTCCCTGATCCAGGCTGAGCAGGATCAAGCCTATCCCTTCATTCCTCCATGTTCAGCAGGAATAAAATTCAGTAGCTGTGATTTAATTGAGGTGACACCGTAAGTGCAAGGTGTCCAGGGTGGCCTTAACCACTGGTCCCCATCAAATCCAAAGGAGCTGCTGTCTGTGGGTCAGTGAAGCCACAGAGATGTGGAGGGGCACATTTAGGTAGCTTGATGCCAACTGCAGCACCCAAAGCCAAGCCCTGGGTCTGTAAATCCCCCAGCTCAGCTGTTATTTCATCCTGGAGGTGTCTTAGCTCTGCAATGCCCTGGGCACAAGGGGGATCCCAGCCAGGCAGAGGCTGTGTCCCAGGCAGCCCCAGGGAGCTTCCCCTGCCCCTTCCCTTGTGTCAAACCCTCCTGGATGTACAAACTCCTGTGGGGTCTCAGCAGAGGGGTTTAGTCCCTGGGTGCTCTCCAGGCCACCCACCTCAGGAACCAAGGACTGGGGTCCCTTGGACACAAGACACGGTGGTGGTGGGCTGAAATCCACCCTCCTCACTTGGGAAACACACTGAGCTCAGCTTCACTGCTCTGAGAATTCTTCCTCACTCCCGGGGCTCTCCTTTGAAATCCCTCCCATTTTCCAGCCCCTTTTTGCAGCATGGACCCTGAGCCTGGGCACAGCATCCCTGTGCCTTTCCCCACACGCTTTCCCTGCCCTGGTTTGGCATTTACTCACAGTAGCCTTTACCTCAGGTGCTGTTTGTGTCTCCCATTTGGGTGATTACTGACCCAAAACCTGTGTTTTAGGGATTTTCCAGTTCCTGAGTCCAGGTGCTCTGGCATTGGATCTCATCCCAGACCGTGCCAAGCTCAGGCTTACACAGCTGCAGGCAATTCATCTCACCAGTGATGAATTTCCCCCCCATTTCTGCCAGCAAACAGTTTCTTCTCCAATCCCAGTTCCTGCTGGGGCTGGATGAAGTACTTGGGAGCACAGATCCCAGCCCAAGTGGACACTGCTGGGAGCAGACCTTTACCCACCCCGTTTGCAGTCACATTGGAGTTGTGCTGGGTTTAATGTGATGGTCACAGCCCTTTTATTACAGAAACACAGAATCACAGAGCGGTTTGGACTGCAAGGGACCTTAAATATCATCTAGTTACAAGCCCCAGATCATTTAGGGCTAAGCTGAGCACCTTCTGGAAGCCTGAACAATCTGCAGACCACGTTCTCAGGTGTGAAATCCTGTAAAAATAAGCTGCACGAGCAGAACTTTCTGCGGTCCAGCCTCCACCAGGCACAAATTCCACAAACTTCTGCTTTCCCCTCGCCTCGATCAGCTCTGCCGTGACTCTGCATGTCTATTTTTTCTCCACTAGGTCGCAGCATTAACTTCTATTTTCCTCTCCTTACTAAACCAAAAAACTGGGGACTTTTATTTTTTTTATTTTTTTTATTTTTTCAGTAGGCAGCTCTGCCTTGTCACCCCTCCGTCCCCTCCTGGCTCCTGCCGGGGGCTGTGGTGACTCAGTGTGGGGTGGCTGGGGCGTCCCCTGGGGTCCCTGCAGAAGGGCCTCGGCTCCTATTTGCATCTGGGCTCGCCTTGCTCACATTCATTGTGAAATTAAAAGTGAAAAAATAAATATCAATCACTAATTACATCACCGGCATGAAGCCTGGAGGAAGGGGACAGTGTAGGACCCCCAAGGCACTCATCTCTTCCCCAGACAGTTCTTTCCCCCGGTGGTGATGGTGAGGACTGAGAAGTTTTTCCGGCTGATTTACAGCTTCATCCTCATGAACTGGCACGTAGGGAGGTTTCCAGCATGGAAAACACGAGTGGTGTGCCCAGCCCCTTCCCCTGGCCCAGCCCTGCTGCCACCCCTTCCAAGGGCAGGATAGGATGCTCTGGATGTTCCCTCGGGCATGGGGCTGGGTCTAGCAGGAAATACGGAGCAGTTGCCCCTTCCAGGGCTTCCCATCTCCCCAGTTCAGCACCCTGGAGGTTCTGGTGTGGGGGGAGTTGTAAGCTGCCCTCTGGACCCCTCCACATGGACAGAAAGCCCCCAGCGTGGGAGATGGGGCTGGGTCCCATGGGAGATGCAGGTGCTGGTGACTCATGTCCCACAGGTGTGCCCACAAATGCTCTGGCTGCTGCGCTGGTTTTGGGGGAGCACAGGGGGTTTGAAGGAGGGTTTCTGTGCTTTCACTATGAGCAAATGGTGCCAGCAGCGGGGAAAAAAGTCCTGCACAGTCCTGAGGAGCTGCTGGCGAGCTAAGAACCGGCTATGAACACAGGAAAGGTGGGTGTAGAGACACAGCCAAGCTCCTCCCCACCGTGCTGGACTGTGACAAAAGGCACCAGTGGCAAAGTGGGACACGGGAGGCTCACATCCAGCTCTTGCTGGGAGACACTGCTGCCCTGGGACACAGACCACCTAAACTGTACCCCCCTTACTTAGGGGATTTAGGGCTTGGCCAGAACGTGGCTGATACCCTGGGTACAGTCCTGCTCAGAGTGGGAGGCTGGACTTAAGGTTAATATGTTCCTTGGCCCCAACATTTCTATGCAAGTTTGATTAAAAAAAAAAAAATAAAAAAAATTGCTTTTCCTGCTTCTGTATGTCCTCGAGCTGCTTTTGTGCTGTTTCTGCAGCCCTGAGCTCTCCAGCTTATGAAATACTGGTGTTTCCAACAGCAACAGTGATGCAGAGATCCAAAGGTGGAGGAAGCAGCAAGGAGGAGCACAGGAATCCCCTGTGGCAGCAGGAAATGCCTGGACAGATGGGTGCCAGGTCCCCTTTGGAGCCATCTGGGCATTGTTCCACAGTGAATTATCATTTCTTCTTTTCCCAAATCCTTCTCAGCTCTCTCCTACTCAAACCCACACCCCAGGGGCCATCTGAGGTCTGATAGTGCTCATCTCCCCAGCTCCTGTCCCGAGTTTGGGGTAGATCCTTTGCAAACTCACCAGCCACCGGCCAATGCAGGCTCACAAATCCTCCCCTCGCTGCCCCACTGCTTCCCTGTGCCAAAGCCAAGTGCTGAGGCTGGAGAGTGTTTTCAGATGAGGGACAGTCACTCAAAACCTGCCTGGCCAGAGGATTCTGCAGCAGGAATAAAAGGTGGATGTGCTGGAAGCTCCAGCTTGGAGGGAGCCCAGGGCACGTGTTCTTGTGTGGATGGATCCGGCTGTGCCTGGGGCAGCTGAGAGCACACAGTGTTCAGCAGTGCTGTTCCCAAGGGCTCCAGGGGCTGGAACATCTCAAGAGAAGCACTGCAGCCTCACCCTCAGGGCTTTCCTGGCATTTGACCAAGTCCCACAAGTACAAGCTATTCCCAACACAAGAGGCACACGTTCGGTACCGCTGGCTTCCCTCTGCCCTCCCACTCCTGCCGTGGTCTCCTCTGCTTCCCCAAACACAATTCCTCCACAGCTGCCTCTGCTAAAGCAACAATGGACCCAAGCCCTGAGCACCTGAGGTAACCCCCAGTTTTTTCTATCCCAGATCCAGCTTCTTTGTGCTGCCCTTGCTCTGTGATGAGCTTCATGGGAGCTGCAGAGGGTAGGAGAGGTGACTCCACATTGCTCATGAGTACTTTGGCTTGAATTATGTCCTGTTCTTTTCTTCCAGACCTGTGGCTTTTTACCTGGAGTGACCTTCCCTGACTCGTTGTTTACCTTGAGAGAAAGGGAACATTTGCTGCCTAGTGGATCTCAGCTACAGCTTTCAGGCAGCGATGAAAACACTCGAAGCCTAAGAGCAACATTTGAATTTAAAAAATCATAATTACAGCGCCCAAGAGGCAGAAGTTGGACGAGAGCAATGAACAAAGCAGGGGGTTGGACGAAAACAAAGAAAGGCATGAGAGGAATCTGTGCTTTGAACAGAGAGTCCTGAATATCTTGCACTGGCTACTTCAAACTGGGCACCCAAAATTAATAGATTCTTTGACCTTTGCTTCTCTGTGCTCTGGTTCTTTGTTTGTAAAGCAGAAACTACAATAGAGCCTCACCAAAGGAAAAAAAAAATGTCATCAGAGCAACTGCTGTGGCCAAAGCACTCGGATGCTGCAGAGATGAGGATGAAGAAGGAAAAAAAAACCCTAACCCTGAATGGCTTTTCAGCAAGTGAGTACCAGCATTGCGTGCACAGAACGGGGCAGTGTCCTCTGGAATAAAAAAATACCTCCAAAAGTGTAATTAAGGATGAACCACACACGCCCACAGGGGTTCTGTGGGCATCCTAAAGGCAGCCATCTCTTAACTTTTAAATGCCTTCTCAACCTTGTCACTTCTGGTGTTATTTTGATGGGTTTTACGCATAGGACTATGCTATATTAGGAGCATGTCTACATATCTCACAAGTAACTGCCTGCAGAGGAAAGCCTGGTACAAACAAACAGAGCCTTGAGTCTGCTCCCTCTGGTCTGAGGAGCTGGATATTGTGCTTGGGCAATTCCAAGAGGAGGTAGAGAGAATGGATGGGGAGCAGCCCTGGGGAGGAGGATTTGGGCTGTTGGTGGATGAGCAGCTCAACATGACCCAGCAATGGCTGATGGCAGCCCAGACACCTCCCCAGTCCTGTGCTGCATCACAAGTGTGGGCAGCAGGTCAGAGAGGGGATTGTGCCTCTCTGCTCCATTCAGGTGAGACCTCACCTGCAGAGCCTCCTCCAGCCCTGGGGCTCATAACACAGGAAAAACAAGGGATGTGTTAGTGTGAATCAGGAGGAGGCCACAAAGATGCTCCTAGGGATGTGGGCCTGCTGCTCTGGAGCCAGGCTGGGGGAAGAAAAAGGCTCCAGGAAAACCTGAGAGCCCCTTCCAGTGCTTAAAGGAGCTCCAAGAGAGCTGGAGAGGGACTTGGGACAATGGCATGGAGTGACAACACAAGTGGAAATGGCTTCCCACTTCCAGAGGGGAGGGTTAGGTGGGATATTGGGAAGGAAATCTTGTCTGTGAGGGTGGTGAGACACTGGCACAGGCTGCCCAGAGACGCTGTGGCTGCCCCATCCCTGTAAGTGTCCCGGGCCAGGTTGGACAGGGCTTGGAGCACCCTGGTCTAGTGGAAGGTGTTAGGAAGTTGAAACAAAGGGATTTTTTCAAGGACCCTTCCAATCCAAACCACTCTGTGATTCTGTTCTGGTGATCATCACTGACCACACCATCACGTTACTTCACTGGACCTCACTGCTGGATCCCGTTGGATTTATTACACCGTGGTCTCTGCAATGGCTGCTCGTGCTGCTGTGCAGGATGCAAGAGGAAGGATAAAATCCACATGCCCTAATTCTGGAGTCTTGCTCCTTTAAACAGATGTGGGAGGGAGGGTTGGTAAATCCTTGGACAATTTTTCATCTTGCCTCAACTGGGCTGGGCTTCGGGCTCAGTCTGTTGTCTGGTCCCCTGTCATAGCTGCTGTTGTAATGATTCATCCATCTGGTTTTCTGGGAAAAGAAAATGAGCTAGGGGAATGGTTTTTGGTTGATTTTTTTTTTTTTTTGGCTGTATCTTTCCTGAAACAGTTACAACTTTGCACCCACTGGAGTTGACGGGGGGAGGAGGAGTCTTACGCATCACTTTTTGCTTGCTGGAGCAGAGACAGAAGTGCTGAGAATCCCATTCCTCAAAGTCAGACTGTGACGGTTTTGTCCTGATTTGTGTTTCCAAGGAGCAAAAAGGATCCAACAAAACCCAGCAGAAGATTCAGGCTGTCTTCAGCGGGTGCACTGGACAAAACCTCGTGCTGATCACTCCAGGGACACCCGCTCCCTCCTTCTGCTGGCTCTTCACCTGCCTGAGCTCTCCAGAAATGATGTGGGAGGAGCTGCAGAGAGGCAGCTTGGACATAAATCCAGGTGGAAAACAAGGACACTGAAGGTCTTCTCACTGGATTGAAACAGTTACTCTCATGAGTGGTATAATTTATCATAAATCAGATAAATACGGGGGAGAAAAAAATCCAAGTAGTTCATACTGGGCAATGTTCAGTCCCAAAGTGCAACAAGAAGCCACAGTGGACTTCTTCCTTGTTGGTTTGCACAGTAAGGATGAGACAACGTGCCCATCCAACTGGGAACACCAAGGCAACCTACTTCTTGGTTAAGGAAAGTGGCACTGTAAAGTCCCTTTCTCAGCAGCCCTTAAAAACTCTGTTATAACCAGCCAGCTCCTCCTCGCTCCAGGAATGCATCTTCCTTGGTCCAAGCTTGGATAGAGGTTAGGCTGGGAAAGCATCAGCCTGCCTGGGAGCAATCACTCTGTTCAGACACATGTTAATGAATTTCCATCAAAGGGGTCAGGTATCAAAGTTCTTTTCTATGCTGCTGGAGCAAACCTTCCTGTGACAAATTCCTGCCCTTATTCCAGCTCCGTATCTGTTACAAGCGACTCCTGTGAGAACCAGATCCTCCTTGAACCCACCAGCACAGGAACTACCCTCCTTGCTGGTCCAGCATCCTTCCTCTCCTGCCCCCCACCCTTTTTTTAGGTCTCCTTCTCCTCACCAGCCTTTCCTTGCGCTTGCCCGTTCCATGATTTCATCCGAGGTGGGTGGTGAGCTCGCTCTCCCCCGCGCAGCCTCTTCCCAGCGGCTCCCGGGATCCCTGCCAGCTCCTCTCCACCCACGGCCTCTCCCGACGAGCCCAACCGCGCGGCTCTGCCCGCGCCAAGGCAGCATCTCACATCTGCTGGGCTGGCTCGGCCAGGGGCAGGGGAGCCAAGGAGCACCTCAGTGATCCCCCTGCACCAGTGCCTTCCAGGGGCTGGCATCTCCACCCCTGCATCCCACAGGACCCCCGGCTTCCCGCCCAGGTCATGGTGATGGGTCACTGAAGTGACTCTTGAACGTTTGAATGCTGCAAACCCAAATTTGAGTTTAGAAAACAGTTTTGCGAGTTGAAAACCAAATGAAAACTGCCTTTTTAACCCTTTTTTCCTGAGTTGCTCCTACACATAAAACCTCTGTGTGGATTTAAGCATTCCCAGCCTGGCTAATGCAGGAGCACCAGGCAGTGAAGTCAGCCGGTCCTATGGCTTCAGAGATTATGGAGCTGAAGATGGCAAAGCAGATTTGAATCAGATTTTGAATTTGTTAAGCCAAAGTGTTAAAATTGAAAACAGAGCACAGGACAGCTTTTCAAACCTCTCAGGTTATTCCCTCCGCTCTTCTGCCATGATTTAAAAAAATTAATCTTTTCACTATTGCTCCCAATGCCATTTCTGTGAGTCCATAAAACCACTTTCTTCTTGTCAGAGAATTCCGACGCCGGTGATTTATAGGCTTTGCTTGGAACACAGCACATAAGTACTTCACTTTTTCATTCGCTCTTTCTAAACGTTTTTAACGATCTGCTTCCTCAGATCTGTTTACATTTGGGACATTAAAAGCTAAGCAACAACTCCATTATGAGAAAGAACACCATAAAAATTCCACCATTGCCAGGAAACATCTCAATACAGTGACAAACGTAGCCACTCTCTCGTCCTGCTGCTCATCCGTAGGAAGACTGGTTTATAAATTATTCATGAGTGCCTTAAAATTTCCAAGCTAATCTCAACTAAAAAGTGGGGTTTTTTACACCATTGTTTCGCTCCAAAGTTCTCCAACTGGAATTTTGATTTGCATAGTGAAATCTTTAAATTTACTTGCACTGAATTTCTCTTTCCTTCAAGTTGTGATTTCAGTTCTCACACTGGAAACACAGTGGAGAGTCTTTACTTATTTGGAAGCCTGGAAATCCGTGATAATCCCCATGAATTTCCTGAGAAATTTAGGTTTTCCCAGAGGTGGTTTTTGAGCAGGTTTGGATTTGTAAGGATTTTGGCACCTTTCAGCAGGCAATCCCGTCACCCCATGGCATTTTTAGTAAGGATGAAGTATATAGGGGACTATCAAGCCATTCTCTTCCCAGTCTGTTTCACAGTAAGAACAGGCAAGATTCAAAATTAAATCATGGCAAAATCTAACAGAGAAAATCACTTTGGGGTCCTCTGGAGGCTACTAACAGAGCAGCTCACTCACCTGTGCTCGTGGATTTTACAGCTTTCAGTCTGTTCTGGGATTTAATCCGCACGGTGGCATTGGAGTATCTTCCACGTAAAATCATCAATTATAAATAAATCCCACTGTGTTTTTATGCAATAATGTTACAGAAGAACAGACAATCATGATATTTGAAGCAATGAAGTTAAAAGAGCTGATGTCCATGGTCTGCCATGCATTGCTCAGCAAACTGTTGCCACAGCCGGCTCCTCCACACAGCGCTGATGCCCCTTCCCAGCCACTTCATCCCAGACTGTGCTGCTCCAAATGAGGGTCAGTGTGTGGTTCTCCAGGCAGGAATCCAGCCAGAGATATGCAGGGCTTGACACACTGATTGCTTTGGGAGAGTAGAGACCGAAGAAAACTTTCCTCTGCAGCAATATGTGAATAATTCTTCCCTGTGAGGGTGGGCAGGCCCTGGCACAGGGTGCCCAGAGAAGCTGTGGCTGCCCGTGGATCCCTGGAAGTGTCCAAGGCCAGGCTGGATGGGGATTGGAGCAATCTGGGATAGTGGAAGGTGTCCTTGCCCATGGCAGGGGTGGCACTGGATGGTCTTTAAGGTCCCTTCCAACCCAAACCAATCTGTGACTCTGTATTTCATTAGCACCAAAACACTGAAGTCAAATCTTTGTGATCCCAAGGCACATCTCATCTTTTTGAGCCAAAGGGGCATTAAAAACCTTCTTTGACATGGAGTAAATTATTTTACTGACTTGCCCCCAGGACTGAAGACAGATCATCTGCTCCCATGGCAGGTTCTCCATAGAGGAATCCTCTGGGGGAGACAGACATGATGCTGAGAAGGCAGCACAGACAGAAACTGCATATGAGGGGACCAAAATACCCAGCAATCCAGGCAGCAGAGCAGACAGCCACACATCCCTCCATGGACCATTCTTGGAAACTTGCTGGAAATCCAGTAGAGTGAGAATGACATCAGGAAAAACATTTTTTGCCTCCTATTTCAAGGAGCTGAGTGGGAACATCTTCTGACCCAGAGTCTGTAACCATTACACTGATCAGTACACACTGAACATCCTCTTGTCTGCCCAACAGCAGAGGTGGGAGCACGCAGCTGGTCCAGCTTTTCTGCTTGGAGCCCCAAAGTTCTGGATGTTTCCAGAGGAGATGCACCTGCAGCACCTAGAGAAAAGAACCCAGCAGTTTGATGGACCAGAAAACAGGAGAGCAGAACTATTTTAATGATACCTGAAAAGTGACAACCTCTTGCTGTAGGCAGCTTAACCCAGGTTGCTTCACTGGAGTTTGCTTCACTGCCCTCACTGGATCTGATTCACCAGATAGTTAGAAATTCTAACACTATTTTCATTGGGATTACCCAAACAAGGAGGAATTTGCTCTGCTGGCACCTTTACACTGCTGTGAGCTCTAACAGCCTGTTTTACTGCACAGCAAAGCTCTGCCAACACAAGCCTCTGCTCTTCATACTTAGCAAAGGTCCCAGCAGGACTCGACCAGCCCACAGCAAAAGCTACAATACCCGAATTTATCCTCCTCGTACCTCTGCTGCCCATTCTGCACTGGAAATGTGTGCTAAGGACACAGCAGATCCCACACAAACAAGTTATTTTTGGTTAAGAAGTTTCAAACTGGCTTGAAGAAATCAGGGAGCATCTTGTAGAATATCACAATTTTGTCTCATTTACTGTTCCACTCTTTCATAACCATCTTGTGCCTGGATGTTTCATCAATTAATGTTGAATATTATATCAATTTTAATGAAAATTATAGTTCTGAACCTCAATTTATTTGCTGAGAAAACAAAGCAGTTTGTCACTACCACCCCCAAGCCCCTACTCAATGTGACCAGGTTATTTCCCCCCCAGATTCTCAATATACAATGGATTTCACAGAACATCCTTATGTAGAAGCCTGACATTTTGAGGCTGTGATGCAAGGTCACAAAAATTTCAGACAAATTAATTGCAACAATTGAAATTTAGGCTTGATGTAGCAGAATGAAGTGGTTTCAGGACTCATTAATGAAAAAATGTGTACGCTGTCAGACATTTCCGAAATATTTTTGCATTAAAAATTTCCCAATAGACATCATCTTTCTCTCCCTCTTATCCTACCATCCAGCACATTTTACATTAATCCAGAAGTGAGAGGGTTTTTTGGGAGAAGCAGTTGATTTCCAATGCTGCTTTTGGCTTAGTCCAAGTGTTGATTTCATTTTAAAATCATTCCAGAACACCGGCAACGGGACAAACTTTTCTGGCCATGGAAACAATCCCCCTGCACGTTGCATTTTGTGATTGCTGCAGGGTCTGTCAACAGGAGGACAGAGCAGACTTGCAAACAAATAGTTTAAGCTATCCACTGTGGTACCTGACTGGCGTTTTGAGACTTGTGTAGGTTTTGTAGGGACCATTTTGCACCCAAATCTGAGTTGAGAGCAAACAGGATAAATTAAAAATAAAAAACCTAAAAACTTCTCATTACATATGCCTTCCTCTTCCTCAGATATATTTTAAACTGAAATGCTTTTGTATCCATCATCACTTTTCTTCCTTTTTTCATCCTTTCTTTCACTGTTGCTGTAAAGAAGATCCACCATGAGCAGGACCAGCAGCAGTGCTCACGTCTGAAAACACTTCCACGAGATCCAAGCATTTGGCAGCTCCATTTTTCTGACTATATGGTACAAAGAACCTCTTGCCTTTCGAGAGAAAGAATGAAAACGTTATTAACCTTCTTCACCTCTTTCTGCACCACTCTGTAACTGGTTTGAACCTTAAGACTGGCTCTTGTGTTAACAAGTTTCCTTGAAGTCAGACGTTTTGATCCTACATGCACAGCACAAGCAGCAGATCCAAACAGATCCATCTGCTCCTTCAGGGACTTCCCACAAGAAATCATTTAAGCAGCTGTCTGCATGGGAGCTCCTTAGGCAGTGGATGTACTTAAAAACACGGTGATTACTTGCAAGTCACGCTTCCAGCACCACTTAATTCTGCACAGCTTTTAACCTCCACAAGAACATCTGTCAAACCCCCTAAAACATGCAGTGCTCTGCATCATACTGCAAACCCCCCATGCTGCTAGCCAGTCTACATTTTCCATATTTCAGTAATTTGTTCCATTAATTTAAGGGCTTAACCTACAGTCTTCTGTACTAAACACAACCATTTTTTTTTTTGGTACTAAAACTCACCACTTCTCAAAGCTCTATGAAAAATGAGACAAGAGCATGAAGGTGGATTTTGTGAATGGATGGAAGCAAGAGACTTGAGAGAAGTCACAAAACTCCTTTCTGGTTTGTGATTATCTTAATTAGAAATAAATTCCAACCCCCTCCCACTACCCCAGGCTGTTCCAAGCCTTGCTCAACCTGGCCCTGGACACTTCCAGGGATCCAGGGGCAGCCACAGCTTCTGTGGGCACCCTGTGCCAGGGCCTGCCCACCCTCACAGGGAAAAATTTCCTCCTGATGTCTAATGTAACCCTGCTCTGTGTTTGAAGCCGTTCCCCCTTTCCTGTCACTCCATCCCCTCGCCAAAATTCCTTCCCTGGCTTTCAATATACTTTCAGTATATTTTCATGTACATAAAAAAAATAGGAGGGGATAAAAGGAAGGTAGATTTACTTCCAACAACCAGCCACAACCTTAGAAATTCCTCTGAATATTCAAAAGTTTCACTTGTTCACAAAAAAACTCTTTTTTAGTTACCCTACATGGAATAGTGGGAAAAGCAGTACATTGCTGAACTCACCAGGACATCCAGGAAAACATCCCCTGCTACAGGGATGCCTTGCTGCAGGCTGGTGTCTGACTCTTGCTGTAGGTTGGTTTGTTTTATTAACTGCCAAAAAGCTGGATGTAGAATGACCAGCTGATTGCAGGATGGTTTTCAGAGATTGTCTTCATGGTTAATGAGATCCTGCTGAAGTGGGGACAGGACCCACCTCTGACTCTGCCTCCAGCCAGCTGTGTCTCTGAAGAGCTGAAATTTCGGAGAAATTCTTACATATTACACACCCTTGGAGAGGTGACTCAGGCTGTTTATGGTTTACTCTGTAATGAGTGTACAAGAGGAGACTGCAAGAAGCTCTCAGGCTGGCAGGGAAAACCTCCATGAGATCTTGCTTTCAGCACATCCAGAGTACAGGAGCTGCAGATTGGAAGGTTTCCTGCTGCTCCTAATTTCCTCATACCTCACAGACAGATCATTAAACCAACAGGGTGGGGTTCTTCTTCTTTGATCCAAAGTCCACACTGGTTATTCTCACTGGGAAAACCATCTCCCTTCATCTTCCCTCTCAGCACTGCAAGGCTTTCCAAACCATTCCAAGGATTGTCTTCACACAGAGGACCTAAACCAAGACCTTGGGTTATACATTTTACAATTCTCCGCCTCTCAGTTTAAACTTGTAGCATTTCTGAATTCAGCAACTCCATTCACTAAAATAACACACTTCCCTAATTTCATACCATTAAAGCTTCTCTCTGGAGCCTCTTGTGTAAAAATTCACGAGGTGCAATTCCCCAATCACTATAACCGATTTCAAATGGTGCTAGAAATTATTATTGACTCTGAACACCAAAAGAAATCAGTCATCCTCTAAAGGGGTTACGGAGATCTGCAAGGATGAAGAGTTATGTGCTGGACAGCATTTCACATTGGAGAAATTCCAAATACTTGATATAATTCTTATTAAAGCACTGGTGAGAAAACAAAGGTTTAGACAGTGAAAATTTTCAAAATCAACCATTAGGTACACACATTTTTTAATACAATAAAATACTTCAAAAAATATTATCTTGAAACACTTCTGAAGATTTCAGCAGACCTGGACAATGTGACCAACCACCTGTGGGCTAATTCTCAACTGCTGGCCATTTCTATGAGCACATCCAGCCACCAACCTGCACGCTGGCAAGTCTTGCCACACGAAATAGATAACACATTCTGATCTGCCTAACACACCACAACAAAAAGCTGAACATGCAGGAAGGGTGCA